GACAAGACACGGGAGAAAGACCTACGGGAGGTGGAGGCAGCTCCTTCACCTGACCAAGAGGATGAGAAAGGCCACCATCAGGCAAAAGAGCCCCATGGCCTCCGAGAGGGCAAAGCCCAGAATGGCGTAGGAGAAGAGCTGTTGCTTCAGAGAGGGAGTCCTGGCATAGCCAATGATGAGGCTCCCAAACACAGTCCCAATTCCAGCCCCAGAGCCAGCCAGCCCTACCGTGGCAGCCCCAGCCCCAGTGAACTTGACTGCTGTGTCGATGTTCCTTGAAATGGCGCTGGTTTGGAAGCTGCGGCTAGGAGTAAGTGAGGTCCGGGGACGTGGGGCTGCCAGGCTGCTGAGGCTCTCATCTGCCGGTGTCTCCGGTGCTGTAGACAGTGATGGGCTCAACAGCTGAGAGGTGCTCCTGACCAAGAAGCGGGTGGAGACGAACTTGGCACAGGCAGACATTTTTGGGGCCTGAGGGGCCGTGGCAGGAGAGCCGGTCCCAATGCAGAGAAGTGTATTTCTGTTTATTTCCACTTCAGTCTTTAGGATTCCCTTCCTTCTCGCTTTTGGTTTTGATTGCTCTTTTTTATGGTTTCTTAAAGTGGAAAGTTAGATTATTCATTTGAGATCTTTCTTTTTTAACGTACATGTTTACAGAAATTTTCACATTAGTACTACTTTCGCTGCATCCTGTAAGGTCTGCTAGGTTTTCCTTTTCGTTAATCTATATTTTTAAATCTCCTTGTGACTTCTTTGATCGATTGGTGCCCTTGGGAAGTGTTTTTTTCTGCTTTTTTGGAGTGTTCTGTATGTGTCTGTTAGGTCTAGTCAGCTTATAGTGTTGTTCAGATCCCCTATTTCTGTGTTGATCTTCTGTATAGTTCTATCAGTTACTGGAAATGAGAGACCGAACTCTCCATTTGTCACTGAATGGTACATTTCTGCTTTCACTTCTGTCAGTTTTTGCTTTACATATTTTGAGGCTCTGTTTTTAAGTACAAATGTGTTTGTAATGGTTATATCCTTTTGATAGATTAACTCTTGGCATTATGAAATGTTTCTCTATGTTGCTAATACCAGTTTTAATCTGCAAGTCTCGTGTGTCTGATATTAGTACAGCCACTTCAACTCTTCTGGTTGCTGTTTGCATGGTGTATCTTCTCCACCCTTTTGCTTTCAGCCTCTTTGTGTCTACCAGTGCTCTTTATTCATGTGGACTTGAGTTACTATCTGGTGTCTTTTTTTTTTTAAGATTTAGTTTACTTATTTGTCAGAGAGAGAGAAAGAATGAGCACAAGCAGGGGAAGCGGCAGGCAGTGGAGGGAGAAGCAGGCTCCCTGCAGAGCAGGGAGCCCGATGCGGGACTCGATCCCAGGACCCCGGGATCATGACCTGAGCCAGAGGCAGACGCTTAACGGACTGAGCCACCCAGGCGCCCCTGTCTGATGTCTTTTCATCTCAGCCTGAAGACATACCATTAGTAATTTTTGTGAAGTATATGTTAGTGACATATTTCTTCAGTTTTTATTTATCTGGAATTGTCTTAGTTTCCCCATTTTTAAAGGATACTTTTACATAGAATTTTTGACTGGCAGTCTTTTTCTTTCATTACTTTAAATATGTCAATCCCACTGCCTCTGGCCTTTATGGTTTCTGATGAGGAATCAACTGTTAATCTTGTTGAGGATCTCTTGCATGTGATGAGTCACTTCTTTCTTGCTGATTGCAGTATTGTCTTTTATTAATTGAGATATAATTAGCATACAGTATTCTATTAGTTTCATACAACATAATGATTCAATTATTTGTATATATTGTGAAATGATCACAAGTCTCGTTAGCATCCATCATCACATATAGTTACAGTTTTTTTCCTCATGATGAGAACTTTGAAGATCTACTGTCTCAACCATGAGAGACAATCTTAACTATAAGAAACAAACTGAGGGTTGCTGGAGGGGAGGTGGATGGGGGGACGGGGTGACCGGGTGAAGGACATTAAGGAAGGCATGTGATGTGATGAGCACTGCGTGTTATACGTAATTGATGAATTACTGAACACTACACCTGAAACTGATGATGTACTATATGTTGGCTGATTAAATTTAAATTTAAAAGATCTGTCTTAGCAACTTTCAAATATATAATACAATATTATTAACTATAGTCACCATGCTGTACGTGACATCCCCATGACCTACTTATTTTATTTTTTTTTAAAGATTTTTTATTTATTTGATAGAGACACAGAGAAGGAACACAAGCAGGGGGAGTGGGAGAGGGAGAAGCAGGCCTCCCACTGAGCAGGGAGCCCGATGCGGGGCTTGATCCCAGGACCCTGGGATCATGACCTGAGCCGAAGGCAGGTGCTTAACGACTGAGCCACCCAGGCGCCCCGACCTACTTATATTATAACTGGAAATGTGTTAGCTTTTGACCACCTTTACCCATTTCTCCTACCCTCTTTGTGTGTCTTTCTCTCTCCTCTCCTTCTGGGACTTCCATATGCAAATGTTGGTTTGCTTCCTTGTGTCCCACGGGTTGCCGAAGCTCTGTTCATTTCTTCTTTCTGGTTGGACCAGACAGTCTCAATTGACATTATCTTCAAATTTGCTGATTCCTTCATCTGTTTGCCTAGATCTGTTGTTGAGCCTCTCTGGTGAATTTTTCATTACAGTTACTGTGCTTTTCAACTCCAGAATTTCTATTTAGTTCTTTTTAAAAATTTCTCTTTAATCATATTCATGTTTGGTGAGACATCATCTTCATGCCTTTGCTTTTTAGTTCTTGCAATATGGTTTCCTTTAGTTGTTTTAATACATGCATAACATCTGATTTAATGTCTTTGTCTAATAAAACTGCCATCTTGGCTTCCTCAAGGACAGTTTCTATTGATTGTTCCTTGCCCACCATATATGAGTCACGCTTTTTTCTTTCGTTGGAAGTTTCATAATTTTCTGTTGAAGACTGGACATTTTAAATAATATATTCTGTCAACTTTGGAAATCATATTCCCTCCTTATGGATGGTGGTTTATTATTGTTTGTATAGTGCCTTTTCTGAACTAATTGTGTAAAGTTTGTAGTCTTTGCTTGGTTGGCTTAGTGATCATCTAATGATTGGACAGATAGCTCTTTAAATGTCTCGTCTCTCAGCCTCTGACAAGTGGTTCCACTTGTGTGAGGACATGCCTTCACTACTCAGCCGAGCAGCTTACAACTCTGTCTCAGCCTACAACTTGTCTAAGCTCAGCCACCGGCAAGAGCTTAGAGTTTTTCAGGTCTTTCCTGAACATGCACATGCCACAGGGCATGCGCATGACCTTCTAGATGCCCAGGACCATGTCAGAACTTGTTCATTTTCCTCCTGTTGCTCCTCTGGGGTGATCTTGGGGCAACAGCTTACCTACTGTGCTAGTTCAGCATCTTGGCTGGGTCATGATTCTAAACAAAAGATGCTATTAATACGTACACTCCACCTTTTAACAAGTTCGTGGTTAATAATATTATACAGGAGGTCGCCTCAATCCATCCTCTGTGTCCGTTCCACACATAATTTGTTTTGGACATATCAGAAATCTGCCTCGTGGCAGAATCACCTAGAAAGCTTTGTATGATCTCAAATACAGGGCTCTGCACACCCAGTTTGAAGATGGTCTGGAGGACACAACGATACACCCTTTAGAATGGCTGCAGTTAAAAAGACTGACAATTCCAAATCATTTTGAGGATGGGAGCTCCTGGAATTTTGTAGGCTAATGGTGGAAATGTAATACAATACGACTACCTCGGGAAAGTTTCATGGTTTCTTTATAAAGCTGTTACATTTATGATTACAACCCAGCAATTCCACTCCTAGGTATTTACCCAAGAGAAATGAGGACATCTGTTTACACCAAGATTTGTTATAAATGTTCTTAAACAGCTTTATTCGTAGTAGCCAAAAATCAGAATAACCCAAGGGACCACTAACAGGAGATTGGATAAACAAAGGATGGTACGTCCATACGGTGGGATACTATGCACCAGTAAAATGAGCGTGCTCCTGAGACACAGGACAAGCCAGGAAATCGCAAAAACAGGGAGAGCAGAAGCGACCAGGCACAAAAGAGAACATTCCAGAAACAGCAGAACTGTAGTGACAGAAAGCAGGTCAGCGGTCGCCTGAGCCAGCAGTGGAGGGGCACAAGGAACTTTGGGAAGTGATGGAAATGTTCTGTATTTTTGTTGTGGTGGAGGTTCCACGGGTGTGTGTACTTGTCGAGTCGCACTGAACCATATACACTGCATTTGCAGCTTATTGGACGTAAAGTCTACCTCGATAAAGTTTTCTTTTTAAATATAGTTTAAAAAAAAAAAAAAAGGCGGCCTGCAAGAGACGCCCTTGCACCTCCCACTCTGTGACGCAGGCCCCCCGCTCAGACACCTGCAGGGCCAGGTGGAGGAAGGGGGCTGAAGCTCCAGGGGGCCTGGAGGGGACAGCCCCGCCGGCGGAGCGAGATGGGCCAGGTGCCAGGACCACATAGTTACCGTGAGCACCAAATTGAGAGCTGTTCATAACGCCGCACGGGCCGGACGCGGCGACCCTTGGGCCACACATGCCTGCGGGCAGCCGGCTTACACTCTCTGCCCTAAAATCCACCCGGGGCTCCAACTGAGCCTTGAGTGCAGTTACAAAGTGGTTTTTCCTGCATGCGGCCCAGGCTTGGAGGTGATAGGGCCTAGTCGGACGCTTTGGGTCCGGGCCTACCCTGTGAGCTGGGGCCCGAGCGCCTCTCGGCGAAAGCCAGCTCTGTGGGAGTGCACAGTACCCGCTCCTCTGATCCTGCCTCTTGGGGCTTCCTCCTGTACCCCTGGGGTAGCTTGCCTGAGTCCCGGTCATGTTAGCGCCAGGAAAGGCGAGAGCACAGCCCGTAGGGGCCTTACGGGGAGCCCGTTTACCCCCGAGTACTCGGAGTTCTGAGGGGTTCGGGCATCTGAGCCGCCGTTTGTCGCCTGGCGCAGTTTGGGGGCAGCCCGGTGTCCTGCGCCGTGGGCCTGGCCGTCCTGGACGTTCTGGAGAAGGAGCAGCTGCAGGCCCATGCCGCCTCTGTGGGCAGTGTCCTGATGGGGCTCCTTGGACAGCAGAAAGCCAAACATCCCATCATCGGGGATGTCAGGTGAGGCTCGGGCAGCGGTCCTTCCCCGCTAACTGAACACCGGCCAGGGGCCAAGTGTGGTTTCCTCGGTCACCTCATCGCCACCCCGGTTGGTGGGGGCTTGTGTCCCCACAGAGGAGGAGCTAAAGCACCGAGGGGGGCTGTTGCCCAAGATGGCGCTTTTAGGGAAGGAGAAAGCAGGGTCCACCTGGGCTCTGACCCCCAGCCTTTCTGCTGTCACACCTGGGGCCCCTCCCCTCGCTGTCACTTCCTGGCACTGGGTCACCACCCTCCAAGGGTTCTGCAGCCCCCAGCCTCCTCAGGAAACAGAGGCACAGGTCCCGGTGCTTTCCACAGGCGCAGGCAGTGGTGGGGGAGAGCAAGGACCGCGACCCCTCGGCCTGGCCTCCAAAGATGTCGCCTTTCTGCTCCAGGGGCATCGGTCTCTTTATTGGCGTGGACCTGATCAAAGACACGGCAACCAGGACGCCAGCAACTGAAGAGGCGAACTACGTGGTGTCCAGGTACTTTTGCTCGAAACGAGTTGCCTTTGCAGCATCCGGGGCCCCGCCTGGGAAGGAGCCTCCCTTCTGCTTCGGCTGGAGGCCCACAGAGGGTGGCCTGAAGGAGGTGGCATCTGGGCCAGAGCGGGAGAGGGGCCCCCTTCTGTGTGTCCCCCGCCAGCTCCGTGGCCGGGGCCCTGCACAAAGGCTTCAGGTGGGGGCGCTGCATTCCCGGTTCCCAGCCGAGGGTGCCAGAGCCGCAGGGGCTCTCAGACCCGAAAGCTGCGTTTCACAGCCCCCGGCGGCCCCAGGGGAAGCCGCTTCCCTGCAGCCACACCAGGGACGGTGGCAGAGGCGGACCTGGGGCTCCCCGTTCCCACAGCAGTGGGCTTTCGGGACGGACAGACCTCCTGCTCCTTGTCCGAGTGGAAGGCGTGTGGAGGACCGGGATCGCAGGTCTCCGGGGTCCCCCACCGCAGCCCCAGTTTACATGTTGTTTCAGCTGACCCCAGGGGGTCCTGAGCCTCACAACCCTTTTTCTTGTGACTCCCTTCTTAGCACCCTTCCCCCACCGTGGCAAACTCCTCTGGTGTTCCACGTGTGTCCTTACTCAGATCGTGTAACGCACATCATTCTAAGAGCATGTGAACAGAAACAATGTAAAAATGTTCCCTTCCTTGGGATTTTTGAGACTGACCCCCGCCCACTTGCGGCCCGAGCTCTTCCTTCTCTGCCGGTTGGGCGCACCCAGCAGCTCACCTACCGCCTTCCCCTCCGGGGAGCCTCGGGACTCAGGGTCAGTGGGAAGGAGGCAGCCAGACCTGAGTTCTCCAGTGCAGAGAGGAAACCAGAACGGGGGGCGGGGGCGTGGCACCTACGGGGGCCCCGCTGGTAGGTGGTGGGGCTGGATCGCAAGTCCAGACCTTGTTCTTTTTAATAGGACCACGGTCCGTGCCGGCAAGAACGGTACGGGCAAAAGGAGCCAAACTGGCAAGACTTGAAAATAATGAAGGAATGAGAAAGAATGGAAGTGGGGGTCAGAACGTAAATACAATCACATCAGACCCTTTCTTTCTGGCCAAATTACCTTCCTAGGTCAAAGCGCAAATGTGGAATGTTAACGTCCTTAGGTACCAATAATACTAAGGAGAGTGAAGTCATCTTCCTAGAAAGAATTGGAAATTAAAACTGGAGAGTCCTCTGGGATTTCAAGATTACTTTGGGGCAGGAAGCAGAAACAGGGTTGGCAGGGAAGCTGCTGAAGCTACGTCTGGGGGCGCGGGGCTCACTGTACCAGCCCGTGAGCATCGGTGCAGCGCAGAAATGCTTGCCGTCCACGTCGGCGCCGCAGCCTGGCTTGGCTCAGGCCGGGGCTCCGGGGGTGGGGGCAGGGGGCCGGGGGCGGGGCATCCCACACGGGGGACCTTAATGCTGGGCTCCGGAACACGGGCGGGCAGGAGGTCGGGCAGAGGCAGCCAGGGCGTGTCCTGGTGGGACCTGAATGGGGGTGGGGCTCCCGGGGCCAGGACAGCCTGGGGGGTGGGGGGAGGCCCTGTGAAGGGCTCCTTGGCTGCTGGGCAGCAGGGCCTTACCATGTGCCGCGTCCCCCCGCCCAGGCTGAAAGAGAACTACATTTTGCTGAGCACCGACGGCCCTGGGAGGAACGTCCTGAAGTTTAAACCCCCGATGTGCTTCAATGTGGACAACGCGCGACATGTGGTGGCCAAGATGGATACCATCCTGACAGGTGAGCTGGGGGCCCTCATCTCTAGAGCCCAACCTGCAGCCAGGAGCTAGGACCTTCCGGGGTGCCCAGGAAGGGGGCTCCGCAGCGAGCCGCGAGTTCTCCAGACCGTGCAGGGACCAAGGAACTGCAGTGTGACAGGAAGGGCTTCCTGAGCCGTTTGCCATCCTGCCTGGACAGCACCAGTCTGGACGCGGGGCAAGGAGCTCCAGCGAAGCGCCCCCATCATGTTAGCCGTGAAGCGCGGGGACGTACTACATGGGTGGCAGGAGCCTTGTGCCTTACTTAAAAGGCTAGTGTCCCTTTCAGCGGCTGAGCTGCTGGAATGAGATTTGCACCCAGGACTGATGAAATGCAAAAGAAGACTCCTCCCTATGTTTCCAGTCCCCTAGGAGACATCAGGATCAGTCTAGGGTCTCCCCTAAATGCACTCACTGGGTCCCCTGGAGCGACGGAAGCGGACAGGTCTCTGCAGGCCATGCTGCACATGCAGAGCTGGGAGCAGGGGTGGCCAGTGGGCAAAATCTCAGCTCCTGGCAGAAACCCACGCCTGGAGGGAGAGGGGGGGGGGCGGGGGGGGACAGGGGAGGAGAGGAGAGGCTGACTGGGCATGGACGTGGCTTTGCTGTCCTGGGCAGAGGGGGCTGCCGTTGAGCCTGGAAGTCCCAGGAAATCTGAGGTCTGGCTTTGTTCTTTCGGGACAGTGTTGCTGACTTAGTGGCCTGTGTACATGGTCAAGGGGCTGGACTACGGCCCAGTCTCCAAACTCATCCAAGAAGCCTGGATGCTGGAGACAGGCTAAGCCATTTGTGGGGGGCTTTGTGCTGTTTTTCAGACATGGAAGAAAAGGTGAGAAGCTGTGAGACGCTGAGGCTCCGGCCCTGAGGCAGCCCTGCCACGTCGCATCCTCCCTCCCCCAGGTGAGTGGGCCTTGCTCCTTGCGACCCACTGCCCGGGTCCGCACCCTCAGCAACCCAAACCTTGCTCTTAACCGGGTCCTCTCCAGCCACCCCGCCAGAAACCTCTCCCAACAAGAGTTTGCATTTGATAGCTGACGGGAGAGGGCGGAAGTAGCGCCTTCCCCCAAGCCAGTTCTAGAAGTGAGGGGAAACAAAAGTCTTTGCTACAGTCTGAGGCCTCAACCACCAGCTCTGGGGGGCCCCTTGTGTCCCATCCAGCTGGCCCCTAGTACACTGCCTTCACACTGTCCTTGCTGGGAGACCGAATCCCACTTCCACCAGCAAGGAAAGACAGAAAAGTCTGTAGGTGCCTCAGACACCACTGCCCTGGGGGCAGCATCCCTTACAGTACCACCTTCACCCCCTTGAAGCTGCCTCCAGCCAGAGTCCTTTAACTTTCTCTGAAAGGGCTCAAGTCCTGGGCAGGACCAGTCCTTACAAGCAGCTCACCGGCAATGCTGGGCGTCGATGGCCCCGCCTGACAAGACCTGCTGTTCGGTCGTGGGTCGTGGAGGATACTAGGGCTTCAGAGGCTCGGGAGGCCCTTCCCCCGCTCTTCACAGCATACCCCACACTCACCCAGGCTTTGGGGGTTTTTAAATTTTTATTTCAAAAGCTTGGATAGCTTCAATATCCAGGTCGTGGCAAAATCAGGACACGTGTAAAATACCTTACAATACATTAGATTCCCAAAAGGTACCAAAAAGTACAGTAAAATTAACACTTCCATTAACAGGAAATGTATGACACAAATAATATAAAATTAAAAGGTGAAAAAAAGGTGACACTGGTTTCCTAAGATACAGTTTACTCTTTACAACCAGGGTCCACAGGTCCAGGCGCGGCAGCAGGAAGCAGACCCTGGCAGCTGGGCTCTGGGGGACCTGGGCATACAATCAGTCAGCCCCTCACGCCGCTCCGGCCTCGGAGACCCCACACGCTGCCTACAACAACTAGAGCTCTGGAAATAGTCAACAGGAGAGTGATTTCCAAGGGGGAAATTTTAAATAAGATGCACATGGGACAGGCCATAGAAAGTATGCCAAGTTAAATTTGGTACGTAATTGTGTTCACTCGAGATCCAAACAAGCGTGTGCGATCAGTCGGGCGTCCTGCCGAAGCCTCAGTACGGCTTGTAGTTGTTCTGGTGGCCGCCGCGGCGCTGGCTCTTCCCGTAATTTGTGCTGCCCTGACCTGGGGACAAGAACGACAACGGTCGCAGCTCCACCTTCCTGAGCCTTCCCCGCCCCTGTGCCAGGCGCTTGGCGGGGACGGGCTCCCCGAGGCCCAGAAGCTCGAGCACTTCCTCCTGTGGCGCCGCCAGCGGCCGCGCCACACCCCCCAAGCCCAGCCTGTCCGACTCCAAAGCCCCTGCTGCCAGTGGCCCCTGCACTGTCTGTCCTGCCTCCCGGGGGAGGGGGGTGGTGAGCGGCGGGGGCCTCCCTCTCTCCTACTTACTGTAGTCGTAGCCGGGGCCGTAGCCGTAATAGCCATAGGGCGAGTAGTCGTAGCCGCCATAGCCGGGCCCGTAGCCCTGCTGATAGCCGTAGCCCTGGTTCCAGTAGCTGCCGTAGCCCTGATTCCAACTCTGACTCTGACCTGTGGGGGGAGCAGGGCACAGGGGCCCATGGACCATTTAGCACACGCAGGAGCTAGGATGGAGGAAATCCTGCCCTTTGGGTGGCGGGGTTACTATGGCAACTCAGAGGTAGAAGCCAAGGGGCTGCTGTCCTGGGGTCGAGGGCCCTGGGCCCGGCCCGGCGTCGAAAACCCAAGCCTGGGATCGGCCAGGAGAGACTGGACCGCTAACTCCTCTCGGGGCAAATGAGGCAGGAACTCACTCTCTCTCGAATGTCCCTCTCCTCACCCCCCCCACGCTCCCTGGCAGCTTGGCCTTAAAAAAGGATGAAGTTCAGGCTTTGGAGTCAGAGGGGCCTGGACAGAAGGAGGTAAAGCGCCTGGCACAGCCCTGCCCTACCTTTTGCTCACCCGCCCACGGGTGTCGACACTCAGGACCGCCACCGAGCCAAGCACGCCCCCTCATGCCCCCCGCACCCTGACTGCAATGTGGATGTCCCTCTGCCCTGGGGCCCCAGGCCCCAAGCGAGCCAGGCTCCCCAATGCCATGCAGCAGCGCCGCCGTGACTCGCCCAGCCTGGCGCAGCACGCACCGGAGGCCGGCAAGAGCCCCCAGACAAGCACCCATCTTCATGGAACCAAGTTCCACTCACCTCCGCTGCCACCGCCGCTGCCTCGGTTCCCTCGGTTGCGGCTCCCACGGCCCCCAGAGCCATACTGCTGCTGCTGATAGACCTCTTTGGGCTGGGCCACCTTGATCTCACACTGAAAGCAGAGGACAATGGGTCACAACACTGTGACAAGCTCTCTGGGCAGAGACAGTGGACAAAGACCTTTGCTGATGGAGACTCAAGAGAGCCAACTGGGACCGTCTGCTCAAAAACACAATGCGCCCAGGGGGCGCATCGGTGGGGTCATTCGGTGTGGTGTCCTGATTCTTGGGTTTGGGCACAGGTCATGATCTCTGGGTCGTGGGATTCAGTTGTGCATAGGCTCCGCGCTGAGTGGAGTCTGCCAAGGTTGTCCCCCCAACACGCGCGCACTCTCTATAAATCCTTAGAACAAACCAACAAAAAAAATATGCTGAAGTGGGAAGCCACATTTGGGCTAGAAGCTTGCAGTAGCACAACTAAAATCTCAATGGACCAGGGCTCACTAGGGCCTTTTTGGCTAAAACCTTTCCCCAGGGAACTTACTGGGGTGACAGCTATACCCCAGGCCTGCTAATGGCAGCCCAGGGGCAGCTCTGCATCTAACGACTGGGAAGAGAGACAGCAAGGCCAGTGCCAACCTAGTGTAGCAAGATCCCGCACCCGGGGGACAGGTCTGATGCCAGCCCCGTTCTACTGGGCAAGGGGGACCAGAGGTGGCTTCTCAGATCAGGGGCCTTAAGTGGGGGGGAAGGGGACACTTTCTCATTTTGTCTTTTCTTTACAGAAGGAATGAAGCATCCCACTCAAACACACTGAGGTGGCGACCCTGACCCCCGGCTTTGAGGAAGAAAGCCACTGAGGCTCAAGGCGGGGCTTCCCTGCGGCCACACTGCTCCCCCCTTCCCCCAACCACTGGCCTGTTGTTGGGAAGGCCCAGATAGCGGTGTCCCCTTAGGAGCCAGAGTGTCAAGTTTCCTTTTTGCTCAAAATTCTGCCCACTGTGGGTGGGGTTAGGGTCAGGGACCTCCCACCACCCAGTTGCCTAAGTAAATCAGGAGTTTACTTTTTAAAGAAAGTACCCTGGCACATATACTCCCCTAATTAGGGCCTAGTATGTCACCATTCAAGCATACTCTAACAAACCAGGAAACCACCCCCACCAAGTGATGCCATCTGATGTCTTCTGCTTAATTAAAAATGCTGAATACATTTATTTCAAAACCCACCACCAGTAGCAGTTGCCTACCTTACAGGTACTTCCTGCCCGTTTCACATTAAAACACAGGGAAAAAAAAAAAAAAGTCCTGTGCATTCACTGTGCACTGGGGGAACAGCTCTTAGCCAGCTGCTGTGCCTAAGATTCAAACTCATCTGACGTAAACTTTAAGGGCCCAATCCTAAATCCAGTCTAACTTCCCAGCCAGGATTAAGACTTCTAGAAGCCCCACCCTACCCGTCCCACCTTATCTGGCTGCCATTCCTGCTCAGACCTGCCACACCCGGCCTGCGAGCCACACCCGGCCTGCGAGCCACACCCTCACCTGCCTCGAGGCCACCTAGAGAATACCTGAAGCAAACTCCCCTCCTCCCCTCCACCCCTCCGGCCTGGCCAGAGTTCAGAGGGAAGGGCTGCAGGTCTCACCTCACCTCAGGCAAAAAAGGACCATGGACACAAGCTGCTAAAACCCTGGGAGCTTTGGGAAGAATCTTCACCTGAGGTGGGAATTGACTAAACCAAGATCCAAAGGGGGTGAGAGTGAACAAATATTTGGTTGTGACAGAAGAGAGGAAAAAGGTCCACGGCAGGAAAGACTTTACCCAAAAGAAACAAACCCATAAATGACAGAAGTTCTAGAATCTTCTGAGACTTTAACTGCACAGCATGTTCACGTTGGACCCTACACCGGGAACACTGTGACCTCTAGCTTTCTATCAGGAATCAAAGGGGCTACTCAACATGCTCTAGCCCTTAGAAACCACCCTTTCTCCTGCCTCCCACACATCCTGGGTTCCTGCAAATTCTACCGGCCTAGAACTCCCTGAAGGACGGGACCATCGGCCCCAGTCAGGACAGCAGGCACGGCAGAAACACAGTAGAGTCAAACTGCCCTGGAGGCAGCCCAACTGCCAACCCACCCCTGTCCTGTAAGAGCCAGCTCTCCAGCAGCAGGCCACAGACAGAGCCGGAGCCACCTTACCTTACTTCCACTGATGGTATGGAACTTTTTCTCCAGAACTTTCTTCACAGGTTCCTCTTCTTTAAAGGTGATGAAAACAAAGCCTCGTCTTTTGTTCAACTTTGGATCCATTGGAAGCTCAATGGCCTCGATCTGGAAACATATGCCAAGCTCAGAACCATATGCCTCTTCCCACCTTCAGGGCCCATAGGGAACTCCCAAGAGAAAAGACCCATGGAGGCCAGAGTGAATACAGCAACCCTGTAGAGGAGGACTACAGCCAGCCAAGGCTGCCAAGGACCAGGGAGAAAGCAACCTCAGGAGAGCCGGCAGGCCACTCCCAGGGTCCCACACTCACCTCCCCAAACTCGCGGAAGTACTCCCTAATCTTCTCCTCAGTGGCTTCAGGATTCAGACCCCCCACAAAAATTTTCTTTACCGGGTCCTTCTTCATGGCCATGGCCTTTTTGGGGTCAATGACACGGCCATCCAGCCTGTGTTCCTTCTGGTCTAGGACCTGTCCCAACAAAAGAAAATTAGGTTGTAACTCCACAGCACCACCCTCAACAAGGCCCTTCTTTCAGAGACCTCAACACTGGTACACAAAACGTGTTCGGCTCCTTCAAACTCCACCCCTAACCTGACTGAGCAACCCAGCTTCATCCCCAAACTTCAAGTACAGCTCGTTTATCTGAACGCCTACAGACCTCGCCGCCACTGCTTTCCCTGAGGGGAGCAGTCTCAGTTTAAAGCCTGTCTCTTTCACGAGTTAAGCAGCAGTGAGGAAGGCTGGAGGTGAGCTGCTAGGGTTAGAATCCAGCCCTTTCTGGCTGTGTGAGCTCTTCTACTTACGCTTCTGAGCCTTTGTTTCATTTTCCATAAAATGGAGCTAAAATAATGCCTACTTCATTCACAGCAACCCTGGACTTTTCATTCTAGTCCTCACAATAGCACACTTACTTTACGAGTGCCCAGGAGAGACACAAAAAAAGGCAATAAACACCAACGATGATCCTCCTGGACCACTCAAACCCATACCGCTCACCCCTTAAACTGTATTCTTTAATCCCTTAAAAAACAGAAGTTCCTCACCTCAACCACCTACAGAATACACCAACTCATCATGCTCTCAGAATGCTATCCTCTTAGAAAAAACTTAAGGCTGCAGACACCAAGCGCCCAGCTTACCTTCTCCACACTTGCTGCGTCTTTGAAGAGGATAAACCCAAACCCTCTTGACCGGCCAGTGTTGGGATCCATTTTTATTGTACAGTCAACGACCTCTCCAAATTTGGTAAAGTAATCCTTTAGGTCCTTTTTGCTGGTATCCCAGCTCAGGCCACCAACGAACATTTTTCTGAAACGGTAAGGACACGTGCCAACGAGCCTCACAAGAAAGCCGTGATTTGAGAAAGGCTGGACCCGACAAAACCTTCACTGCCAAAGGCTCAGAAGCAAAGCCGCCATCCGGAACAAGGGCCTGCCCTCAGAGTCCCCAAGGCTCCTACCTTTGGGAGGTGTCACCCAATCTTCACTACCCTCGCACACAACCCTGACCCGGGGGAAGCTTCAGATTGCTCAGCCCCCGACGGGGCAGGGGAAGGAAGGGCACTCTGGCCTGGGGTAGAGGCCCCGAACCCTCACAACTGGAAGTCATTTGACTAGCATGGAGCACGGAAGGCAAAAGGCCGCCGGCCCGGCCTCACCCCCCCACCCCAGAGAGCTCGCTCTCAAGGAACTCGAGGCTTCCAGGCTTCCGGGGGCCGGAGACCGCGTTCAGACCGTGACTCCGCCCTCCGCAGGGGTGGGGGGGTTGAGAGGCAGGCCGCGGCCGGGGCGCGCGCCAACTCCGCCCACGCAGCCCCGCGGAGCCGGAGGCCGGCTCGGCCCCGGGTCCGAGCGCACTCCCTCTTCCGGGCCGCCCGTTCCCCACCCCCACACCCGGCCCCGCGCAAGCGGCCCCGGGGCGGCGCCAAAGTCGACCCAACAAACTCCTGCAAACTCCGGCGCGAGCGGCGGCGCGGCGGGCGACGAAGGGCCGGGCGGCGGGCCGCGAGCAGGCCCCGGCCGCCCCTCCCCCCGCCGCGTGGCGCCAACAAAAGGCGGCCCCGGAACAAAGGCGGCGCCCCGGCCGGCCCGCGGCCGCACCTACCCCGCGTCCTCCTCGTTCTTGCTGGCGTTGATCTGGTCGCCCTCGGCGCCGTTCTGGTTGCCGGCCTGGGGCGCCGCGCTCCCGCCTCCGGTGCCCGCCGCGGCCCCGGTGCCGGCCCCCGCCGGCGACTCGCCTTCGGGGGCGGCCTCGTGTCCGTTCTCGGTGGCGCCCGTCGTCTCCATGGGCTGCTCCTCACCCGCTTCCGACATGCTAGGCCGGGGCGCGGCGGCTCCTGCAACGAGCGGCCCCAGCGCGTCAGGCGCGCGCGGCTCCCGCCCAGGCTCCCGCCCGCCGCCCGCGGGCCCGGCCGCTCACCTCGCCGCCGATGACGCCGCGGGGCCCGCTCGTCCCCACCCGCAGGAAAGGCGCCGCGGGCTCGGCCGCGCTCACGCCCGCGCTGCCGGGCCTCCCCTCCGTCCGCCGACGGAGCCGCCGCGACCTCGCACCCTCCGCCGCGCCGCTCGGAGCCCACCGACCGACAGGCTCGCTCGGGCCCGCGCGGTGCCGCCGCCTGACAATGCCGACTCGTGGCGCTCTTTATAATGCCGGGGCCGGGCGCACCTCGCAACAAGGCGCGTGCTCATTGGCTATGCCCGCCCGCCACTCAACCCCACGCCAGCGTCCCATTGGCCGCAGCGGCGCGCGCACGCTAAATCCGGGCGGGCTTTGTCCTCATTTTAGAACCCGCGCGAGTCAAGGCCTTGCGGAGGGCTCCCGGGGCCGGGCGGCAACACAGCGTTCTCCTGAGCGGCGCCGGCAGCCGGAACCCCGCGGCCCAGGGACCGGAGACCGACCCCTCCGCCCCGTGAGGCCGCAGTCTCTCGTCCCGGTGCGCCCCATCCCAGCATTGGCAGCTTCGCCCATTCTGTTTTCCCCAAAAAGGAACCTGGGCTCTAGGATGTCTCGCAAATCAAGGTCGCCCGGCTGGAAGTGGGAGAAGTCGGGCTGCCGAGCTCGGGCGCGCAGAGTTCCCGCCGGACGCGGCCCGCCCTCCCCCTTGACCTTGGTGCCCTCACGGCCCCGCGCTCCCGCCCTTTCTGCCGCCTCCCCCAGTGGCGAGCAGCGGAGAGGGGGTGGAGCCCGCCGGGCGTCTGGTGCCAATGGAGCTCGGGCAGGATGTGGCGGGAGAAACGGTGGGACGGCGGTGTTCCCCAATCTTAGGTCGTCCGGCACCACCTAGACGATTAGCCTTGTCTTCACACTTTGGGTTAACGTTTTTTATTTGAGTTAATTCATGTATTCCTACTGAAATCTCTTTTTCAGGAAAATACACCACCTCCCTGAAATCATGAAGTTGGAGGCGGGGAGGGACGAGAAGTTCTCTTTCTCTAATATACTAAACCCCTTCGTTTGATCTCCTTGACCACCAAGCTTGGAAGGCCGGCGTAATCCCATGATTGCTTTTAAACCATATGGGTGACGGGGCCCCACGTGGACCAGGATTACAACCTCTGAAGCCTGGGGATTACCAGATAGCGACAGAACACAAGTGGCTGACGTTTCCTGCTGGGTTCCTGCAGCCAGGCCCGGTGTGGGGGGCTGGGGGTTCTAGTGCCTCATCTGGTCTAACAACCCTGTGGAAGGTGATACCATCACAAATTTATAAATGAGAAAACTGAAGCCCAGAGCGTTGGCGCAAGACTCACTCCCGAATCCGGCCAGCCAGTGGAGTTGCAGAGATAATGAAAAGTGTGACCATTTCACATTTGGAAAAAATAATCGACTATAGAAAATCCGAAGACTTGGCCACACAGTGCTGCATTGC